ACACGAGCTATTGTTGTTTTATATGATGGAAAACTAATAGCCGAAAAATATGCTTCAGGTTTTTCAAAAAATTCAAAACTTTTAGGTTGGAGTATGACAAAAAGTATAATTAATGCACTTATTGGAATTTTAGTGAAAGATAATAAATTAAATATCAATGATTTTGCTCCCGTACCTGAATGGAATAATCCTAATGATCCTCGTCATTCAATTACATTAAAAAATTTATTACAACAGACAAGTGGTTTAGATTTTATCGAAAATTATCAAAGAAAAAGTGATGTGACACAAATGTTATATCAAAGTGGTGATATGGCTGCATTTGCTGCTTCACGTACATTAAAATTTAAACCAGGTACTCATTGGTATTATACAAGTGGAAATACGAATCTATTATCACGAATTATTCGTCATACAATTGGAGAAAATGAATATCATTCATTTCCTTATCGAAAATTATTTTCTAAACTTGGTATGAATAGTTTTATTATGGAAGTTGATGCATCAGGAACTTTTGTTGGTTCATCTTATTCATGGGGTACTGCTCGTGATTGGGCTCGGTTTGGTTTATTATATTTAAATAATGGATATTATAATAATGAACAAATCTTATCTGAAGAATGGATAAAACAAACGATAACTAATGCTAATTCAAATCAACATGGCCACTATGGACTTCATTTTTGGTTAAATACAGAAGAAAACAATAATTCATCTACACGAAGATTTCCAAATGTACCTGCAGATATGTTTTATGCAGCTGGTTTTGATGGACAACGTGTATTTATTATTCCATCGAAGAAATTAGTGGTCGTTCGTTTAGGTTTAGCAAGAACACCAAAAGAAGAATTTGGTGCAAATGAATTTTTAAAAAATGTTATTAACTCAATTGATTCATAATTTTTTTTTATTCGATTGATTTAACATTTTTCATTCTTAAAATAATTTTGATTTCAATGCTCATAAATAAAATAAATAACTAATCATTTCAATGTATGAAATTATTACTATGAAATTCAAATTGTCAACAGTTGATATTGTGACAAGTAAATAACATAATGAACAGGATTTTTTGAAAAGCTGTTTGTTGCATTTCCAGTTTCTAGTTTATTTTATCTGCTCATATTAAACTAATCAATATTATAATCTTATAGTCAATTATATAGAAAGAAAACATATACAAATAAATTAGTTCAATATTCTTTAGAGATTCTATTCCAAAAAACATATTACAAAATACGGTTTTCCTTATTCATATTCGATTATTATTACGATCGATAATCAAATCTTATTTTTTGTCTTCGTAATCAGTTCAATAATTTTATCTATTGAAATGTTCAAACTGACAACAGACAATTGAGTTCAAAACAAATAAAATATTAAATAAATAAGAGCAGATCACATCACGACATTCCTATTGTTCTTGTTTTAATCAGTCAATTGTATATTTGTCCGTAGAAAAGAAAAATATGTTATGAAGTTTCTATTATAAATTTTTGAAAACTTTATGAAATCGACTGAAACTGATGAAAAAGAGTTTGTTCGAATTAAACTTCTCTTGTCGGATCTATTGGTACTATAATAAAACGTTGTACACAATGAATTATCCCTTTTGCTTGATCAAGCCATGTACAAAAGAAAAAAAAGGCTATAACAACTAACCCCTAGCGAATCTTCGGTTACCATACAACCTTTTGCTCCTGCTATTCTACAATATTTTGTTATACTGTTGTCATAACCATTTGGATAATCACACATTTTGCTAGAGCTACAATCATCTGAATCATAACATGGAGTTTCCTCATAGATGCACGAGGAAGAATGATACTGTAAGACCTCTCTATATGAGCATCTCCTTATTCTGAACTGTGAACACTCTTTTTCAGTCCCATGAGTAACAAAAACCTCCATAATGAGAGCAATGTGTGTTCTACCGTTCGCGTGCAGAACGAGGTGAAAAATTCTACTTTACTTGTTACATTGTAATTAATAAACAATCAAATAACACATAAGGACAAGATAGGTTAACTGTTCGTGTTAAGATTTTGAACCTTCTTTATTACAAAGAGACTCATTTTCTGTTACACAATATTCTTAACTTTATCAAGCTATAAATGAAATCTTGATTCAAACATTTCTGTTCAAAGCACTATTCATAGCTATTTTAGGAAAGATTGATTTTTGTCGTAAAAAAGTTATCATTACAGAAGGATAGATGATTATTTGAATAAATAAATTATTGACAAGAAAACAAAGGCCATTTTATGTCATGGAGAGACGATTGTAAACGAATCCCCATTGTTTGAGAACAAAACATTCGAAAACCTCCCAGTAATATGTATCTCAATAAACTGAGCACTTTTTTTTCAGTCCTAATAGTGTTCAGATTAGAGAGATTTTACTGTAACTGAAAAAAAAATAACTTCAGAATTTTGTAACTAAGAAGAGCAAGCAGATTCCGAACACTGAAATGCATTTGTGTCTTCCTATCTTTTGGTGTATCATGTTGAGTTATGCGCATTTTTAGAACTCATCAGAATCTACGTTTCTCCCATCAACCTAATAGTATTTTGATGTTTGGTAGTTTCTGCTACATTCTGCTATGGAACTATCAGGATCCACTTTTTTTCTTCGATTGGTCTCAGTGTACCAGAACTCAAGTTAATTTGATACTCTAGTCTCAATCCAGTGTTTCCTTTAGAATCATGTTTTCTTCAAAATTCTATTTCGAGTTTTAGTATCATCAGTTTTCAGGATACTTGATTGTGAAAGAGAAACCTTCCACAAGCCTTTTCAAGTTTCTACTGAGATATTTTGATTATTTGAAAATGAAGGATTCTACTCTAGTTCATTCTCAGTCTTATTCAGAACCTTGGCCTAAATAATAGAAAGAATTTTGCTAAGGTTCTATCAGTTTTACCGGGATCTGTTCGGAATCTTTTATTTCATCAAAATTTTAAGCAATGCCTGCTAAAGGTACTTTGAAGATTTTTGAACCTTAGAATCCAAATAAGTTACACTACATCTTAAGTAAAATATTAACAGTGATATTCATTTGTATCTCTATGAAAGTGAATTGAAGGATTCGGACAAAATCTTAGAAGATTTTCTTCAAATCTCTTAAAGATTTATATTGACTACGGTATGACGTTCGCGGTATGCAACTCATTTATCTGTTGAATTTTATTGTCACATAAAACCTGAAAACTCATTAAAATCGAGATTTTAATATCAGTTTAACTGTTGCACTAACTTTTTCTTTAAAAGGACTCTTAGTAAGAGACGAGTCCGACAATGAAAATTTCCATTGGATTTCATTCATTCGTGTTAAAAAATTTGAAAATATCACTTTTTCATTCAAACTGAAATCAACACTGTGTGTGTACAGAGTTCAAATACAAGTTAATAGTTCAGAGACAATTTAAAATGTCGATGGTTTAAGTACAATTAAATGATTTGGCACAGTCTACTGAGGTAAACTAATCGATTGTAAACTGAAGACCTATAGATCAATACTCTGTGGATTCATTGCTTCTCTTTTCTACCTAGAAACCCTTCCAAAGGTTCGACCAAGTTAATCGAATAATATCGGTAAAGAATCTTAATGAAGTCCTGCGCGATGCAATCAGAAAATATTTTTTCAATTAGATATCATGAAAATTCTAGTAATATCCTGGCATAAAATTTACGAAAAAAGAACCTAGAATGCTATAAAAATCTTGTTCTAATTTTAACAAGATCGTTGTTGCATCGTAGCTGCACATTTCTCGAAGGATTTACTGTTTCCTTAAAATATTTCTTATTAAAATTGTTTTAGTAAACTGCTCAGAACACAATGGGATCCTGTGGCTACACGACTTTTCCAGAGTTTCGCACCTTCTTGGATGATTTTCAGTTGCAAAACAGTGCTCAATTATTCATAATCTTAATTGAATTCCAATTCAAATCGTCTCAGCATCTTAAAATTTTATTTCATCCATCAGAAAAAATGGTAAATCTGTGTAGGATTGTTGTCAGATATGTCAGAGGACTATTCAAAAACATCACATATTTGCCATAAGGGAAACTCATCATTATTCACTAGAGTCAATTGAGATCCAAAAATATGAAATAAGTATGGCAAAGCTGAATATTGATGGATTCTGTTAGATCGTATAAGTCGCAAAACCCATCAAGATATATCAAAATTCATCGTCACTCATCTGAGTTTCAATCTCCAGAATTTCCTCTATCTTCCCCGCCGGAAATTTCACGACCGATTCTCTGTCTCTTAACTTAGTTTTCAAGGATTCTAATCGATCGACGTGGATTCCAGTAGATCTGAGATATATCAGAATAGTACATCGTTATTTGCAAAACTAGCTGCGCACACTTTTTCTTGACTAACTTCTGCAATCGTTTTTCTTTCTTATCACATAATGACTATGAATTAGACTTTTATTTGAATTATATCCGAGAATAATTTATTAGTATGAAAGTATTTGTGAAGAAACGTGAAAATAATCACAATAGAATAATACAAAAGAAAGTATTTCAATCGGCCCTTTTCTCGAGAAATGATTCAGATGAGTCTCCAAATTTTAACTCGAATTTATCTTCACCACGATAGTTACTGGTTTGAACAAACCATTTCCCTTCAAATTGACCATGAATCGTATTCCATGTCAATTGTATAGTTGCTGCATGTCCAAAGTTTTCTTTTGGATCACCAGTACCTAATGCATAGGTTTTATTCAGAGCAATCCGTTGGTTCTCCTCAGAGAACGTTCCATCAATTGTGAACTTTCCTACATCATCGTATCCGTGTCCTGTTACTCGGCCTGTGGCATGATCGAATGTTAGTGACATCAAATGTGGTCCATGCCATTGACCATATTGATAATATCGACTCATCCAATCTCCATTTTTGAAATAGTTTTCTTCATACGTTTGATAGGTTTTATTGAGTTCATTTGTAGAATTCTTATTGATGAAACTTGTATTGGATTCCGATGGCCGACCACGATATCGACGACAACAAAAGATAATGAGAAAGATGACTGCGATTAGACCGAGTATACCACCTATTACACTGCCTACGATAATTCCTACTTTACGACAATCTGAACCTTGACAGCTACTTCCACGACTTGTACCACCACCTAGAACCAATACTTTTCTCAAGAAGATTCATAATGTTTGACATGAAATAATTACCTCTATAGCGACTACCACCGCGACTTCCACCACCTCGACTTCCACCACGAGCACCTTGACTGTGAACAAGAACGGCGACTAGTGCAACGATCAATAACAAGCGAAATACAATGCGCATGATGATGAAAACTGAGTACAAAAATTTAATTTGAATACGATATTTTATCCTCAACTTCAATACATATATATATATATATATATAGAAGACTGATCGTTTGACAGAAATGAATAAAAATTGTGTTTGCTTTATGTGTCGACGAATCGTAGTACCAATAGAGAGAGAGAGAGAGAGAGAGAGAAATAAGTATCACGGTGAATATTGACTAATTATTTTTTCACTCATTCTCTGATCATGAAATACACATATGCATAGACATTCCTGATTATTTTTATTCACGGCACGACTAATGAAACGCGATACGCACATGGCAATGTTTTTTCACGTCGTCGAAATATTGCACAAATTTCACATCTACACAAGTAATTATCGACATAACTGAAGGACAGAAAAGAGTGAAAATCACAAGTGTATGTGTGCTCGTTGCAAGAAGCACCCCGCAGCGATGAACTACGCATGTTCTTTACGAATGTTTGATGAAACAAATCAATTGGTAATCATTTGTCTTGAAACTCCGTTATTCTCACAGAAAAATTAGCTCTGCTTAATTAAATGTTGTTTTTTGCGAGAGTTTATACATTATTTC